CCTCTGTTGCTTCCTCTGTAAAATGGGGGATGACAATAGTACTTAACTAGAATAACCCCTAGCACAGAGTGAGTGCTTTGAAAGTGTTTATTAAATAAGTAATTCTGTGGTGCTGAGTTTACTTCTTAGCTGGAAAACTTGAGATATTTTTATTCCCAACAATTTGCCATCAGTCAAACATGATGGCTCTTTCCCACACCAAAAACAGAACAGCCTCGGAACAACAGCACCTCACCAGATACGGATGCCTGATTGCTCCTTTAGACGGTGTAGGAGCAGGGTGAGATGCCAGGCCAACTCCACACACGGGGAGGATTTGGCAAAGCTGGGGTCAGAGCACTTCTGGAACATTCTTAACTCTGCAAGTTCTCAGCTGCTGAAAACAGCTGTGCTTAAAGAGGCTTAGACTCAGCACAGAGCTATTCCTACTATTTGCAATGGTGGGAGCTTCAAGCAAGAGGACTTAATCATCCTTTCTGTTCCCACTGTTGGTACCCCACAGCAGCCTGTCCTGGCTCCTGGGGATGAAAGATTACATGAGGAATCAAAATGTTTTCATGGGCGTACATTCGCAGGGGGAGAGTATGATGATGGTGATGTGGTGATAACTAATGTTTATCGAGCACTTACCAGGTGTCAGACACTACTCAGTGCTATACATATATTAACTCATACAATCCTCATGAGACAGATGGAGAAACTGAGTCCCTGAGAGAAAAGTAATGCCTAAGGGTAGACACAGAGAAAGGGGCAGAGTTGGGATTTGACCCCAGGCTTTCTGGCTCTGGCCCAGGCTCTCCCTCCTACACATACTGCCTCTGAGTCTGGACTGTGAGGAGGGGGTCCAGGTAGGACGAGGCACCGGAACAAGCACTAAACTGGGCTGTGACGGACGGGAGGGCATGAGGGGCTCAGGGGAAGCTACGGTTAAGTCCATTTATTTTCAATTAAACAAGTTTCAAAGACTGAAATAGAATAAATCATAAACAATATTCCTTCGTGAATTTGTTTTGTTAAAGCATATAATGTCATACATACTTTGTAGACATAAATATCAAGGTTCATTAAAGATTTATACCATAGTATTTGAGCCTCTCGTCTTCATATAAAAAATTCAAGGCAAAGCAATCTTGAAATTATTTCTCATTTACTGAGTCACTAGCAGTGCAATAAAATCAAACACCTTCTTACTTGTTATTCTCATCTGGTTTCATATTACACCAACTTCTCCCTACAGGTTTCCACAGTGACAAAGACTTTCTGTATTATTGTCATTCTATAGGATCCTTGGAACTAAGTCTTAGGAGACTTTTCTAAAATATTTTTCTTATAGATCAGAAAATAAAAATGTATGAACAGGATTAGATTCCAACAGAATTTGGTTAATTTTAACACCAGAAAGATAGACTGGGTCTTCGATACTCTTTTCTAGTAAAATTGACTTCTCTGGCTCTCAATATTTATCTAAATCCTAATTCACCCCAGATGTTTGTCCACAGTTATGATGGCCTTTGGCCTACAGTTCCCCGGAGCTAACGCTGGATCACGCTGCATCCTGGGTCAGAGGAGTTATTATTAAGGAGGGAAAATTCTCAGATATCCACGACAGGAGGATGACAGAGAGAGGTGGAGGTACCACAGATGAAGCCTACACCAAGTCCCCAAACCTAATTTTGGCCAATTGTGTAGACTTGCCTTGCTGTGTAACTGTTTCCAGAGGCGGAAACACGCAGTGTATTGAGAATATTGGCACTACCCTAGCTTACGTCTGCATCTCAGAGAGGCTATGCTGAAAACGGCCAGGTCTTCACGTCCAATGACCTCGCTGAGGTCCCCAAGGTCAGGGAGATGGGAGTTACAAATGGCATCCTGGAATTCTGGGGACATAAGGTCCTTCTCTGGGCCACCGGCCTCTGCCCTCTGGGTCCTGTCTCCCAGGCATTTTCACAGGAGGTGGGAGGGGGATGCTGCTTTCTCTCCATTTTCCCTGTAGAAATGGGCTGGTCATATTGGCGCGCCTCATTTAGGGACTCCCTACGAGGAAAAGACTGGATGGGATGTTCACACAGCCCTTTAATAGGATTACACCCTTAAACAAATCTATAAAATTATTTCAAAAATAATAAACCTACAGAACACTCCCTCCTGAAACTTTTCCCTTTGGGTAATAACATGAAAACACACTTCCTATCACAGCTTTTTCATAAGAAAAAACCTTCAGCGTCATATTTTGGGTCTTCTAATACGGAGATTCATGGTTTTCACCTACTCTGGAGATAGACAGGTCTATTAATTTAGTTAAGAACATCCAGTGAACAATATTCCAGCTTCCAGTCCTTCCAGACCAGTTCTGTAAATTCTGAGAAGCACCTCCTCAAAGTGCCATCCTTTAAGTCAGCAAGATAGAGCGTACTGCTGCTCTCCTGTGGCCACTCAGCACAGCCCACATAGGAGGCCTTCAGGCCGGCAACCGCCATACGTTCTGGACAAGAGCCAACCGTGACATCACAGCCCCTCACCTTATGTATCAACCTGGTTAAGAAAGAATATCCTGAGGTTTCAAGACTAGTTTAAGAGAGCCAAAAGGCTCATCAATTAACACAACGGCAAATGGCAAATATGTCACATCAGTCTTATGATGCTCTGTCAATTTAGCCAAGCTTCCTCTACGCTTGGAATGAAAATGCTTCTGCCTTGCTCTTTTTTCTTTTTAATGAATGATAACTTAAAAGTATAAACCTTATGCTAAAGACTCATCTTTCATATCAGCTAAATAATTATCAGAGAAAACCTATAAAACCGCATTCTGGTTTTTGGCTGCCCTTTCACACGTCAAGACGCTGCAGCCTGCCATGAAAGGTGCTTAGACAGTGAGGAAGGCTATGAGGCATGGAAAGCTCTGTGAATCCCTGTTTTGTGTTTCCATTTCTGTTCACCTGCTTTCCCATGGGCAAGCAGCCACCTCCTATCACAGAGCCGTCCCGTCTTAGGTCAGCAGATAACACAGGCGAAATCTGCAAGGGATGAACACACGGGCTTGGGTGTGGTCACCGGCAGAGGAAAGCTTTGGTTCCCTGGCTGCAGGCTCCATGACCAAGAGCCGCACCCTGGGCGGGAATCTCCACGAGCGCTTCTCCCAGATTTTACCACCATCCGCACCAGCCCTGACTGCTTCCTCTGTGAACACACCGCCGACCTTCGGTGTGGGCCGCTTCAGAGACAAAGCCGGCCGCTCAGGGAGCCCGTTATGCACCCAGGCGACCTCCAGGTCGCTGCCAGGCCGCCGCGCCATGTCTCGGCTGCTGGTCAACAGCAAGGGGCGAGCGGTGGAGCCACAGCCAGAAAACACCAAAGCCGGGGACGGCGGCTGTCTATCCGCCCCCCAGTCTAGGGGGACCTGCAACTCAGACCAGGGAATTAACGGCGGGGCTTGGTGCCCCAACACAAACCCCAAGAGACGTGCATATGCCCTAAGATTTCTCTGGGAGCGTTTTCTGCAGCAGAAAACTGCACATGTGAGTTCTGGGGGGCCCTAGTTCGTTATCGGGCGGATACCAGTGCCGGCTATTGTTCTGCGGGTCTCCTCGGCAGGAGACGTTCCCCATTCCGCCTCCCTGGCTGCATCTGCCGCTGGACCAAGCCTTTCAGCTCCGCGAAGAAAAGGGTGTGCCTGCGGCGCTGCGGATTATCACAAAATCCTAAGGGAGTCCCTACGGGTTTGTGTCACGCCTGGAGACAAAGCTCCTCTCGGAGACAGCCCAGTCGGGTCCCGGATCCGCCATCCTGGGTCTGTCGCCTGTCCAAAGGCCACGCCCAGCCGGCTACCTGGACCGCCAGGCCCCATGTCTTGAGCTGAGGGTCTTCAGGCCCAGGGCCGGCCTCCCAGCTGCCTGCCCCTCCCTTCCCCGGAGACCTCCCTCCCCAGGGAGACCCTCCCCCGCACCGCGCCGGTCTCCTCCCTCGCGTCTACCCTCCTCAGACCCAGTCGGTCTCCACCCTCCTGCATCTCTCCTCCCCTCCTCATTCTTCATCAGCCCCAGCCTCGCCTCGTCTCGCGCCACCTGCTCCAAGCTGCTTCCCTCCCTCCTCACACCCGCCCCCTTCTCTTTCCTCCTCAAACCCTGGTCTCCACTTCTCCTTCCTCCCAGATCCAGTTACCTGTCCCCACCCAGCTTCCTCATCTCCCCATCTTTGCTCAAACGGAGGCTTTGCCTCCGCCTCTCCCCATCCCAGCTTCTCTCCAGCCCCAACTCCTGCCCCCTCCCCAGGCCTGAGGCGTCGACGTCTCTTGCCCGCCAAGATCGATGCTGCGGGGAGGGCTCCCGTGCTGGGCTCAAGCGAAGGGACCCAGCTCGGCACCCGCTCTAGGCCGGGCAGCAGCAGGCGGCCTTTGTGGTTCCGGCAGGTGCCTGGGAGGCGGCAGGCGAATCATCCTCAGGCTTCCGCTCCTTCAGCCGGACGGGTGGAACGGGCCGCCGGGTCCGGTCCAAGTTGGGCAAATCCCAACCCGGTTGCGAGATGGACCGAGGCTGCGTGTATGGGTGGTGGGTGGGGGCCGAGGACAGCGCCGATCTAGGGCCTCGGGCAGGACGGGCCGGCAGCCAGAGAAGCCCCCGCCCAACATTCCAGCCATTCAGGGCTCCTCGACGAGCGAGGTTGGGCGCCTACTGTGTGCTAGGAGTGAAACCCCTTCAACCAAGCCACCTCCTCACCCCAGTTCTTTGCAATCCCACGAGCTCACATTAGACGCCTACTATGCGCAAGGCACCGCACGGAGCCCTGTGGGCGTACAAAGAGGACTGGATTGCGGCTCCAGTTTAGCCCCTATAGCCGCCCCCAACCCCAATCCCAAACCACACCTCCCACCGCGTACCCTGCAGCTAGGCCCCTAGGCGCACCCCCATCCCCGCCTTTTTGTGCGCCTCCCAGAGAAACAAGGCGTGAGGTGGATGTCCCAGCCCGGGGAGAATAAGCCCACCGCCCGCCCCGCCATCACCCACTCCTCCGGGATGCTACGGCTGCAAGGCTCCGTCGGTGGGTCCGTCTCTCCTCGGTCTCGCCGCGGCGCCGGAGCTGCGGGTGCTCGGGGCGGCGGCGGCTGCACGCGCGCTCGCTCGATCGCCGCCTTAGCGCGCGAGGCGCTGGAGTCCGAAGCCTCGAGCGGGGGAGGGGACGTGGGGGTGCTGAAGGCGGCCTTGGCCAATCACCGACCCGACGGCTCCTCCCCAGTACTCCCCACCTCGCGCTAGCAGGTTAGGGGAGGCGGGGACAGGCGGCGCCCCGCATCCTCGGCGCCGCGCGCGGCCGCCGCCTTGGGACTACAACTCCCGACAGGCCCTGCTGCAGGGCCAGGGTCCGAGGGGGCGCAGAGGGAGGCGCCCGAGACCCCGCCGACCCCCTTCGCGCCCTTCCCCGCGTTCCTTTGGGTTTCCATGGTGACTGGCGACACTTCACAAAGCTCGGACGCTCGGACGCGCTAATGCACGCGTCCCCTGGGAGGGCTACGGGGCTGGTCCCGAGGACACACCGCCTCCCCTCCCCCTGCAGGACCCCACTGGAGGGGCTAAAACAATGCCCGGCCGCGTCTGCCCGGCTGCTGCCGGGCCTGCCCTTCGCTGCTGGGCCCGGCTAGGGTCGCCAAGACCCTGTCCGAGGCCTTCAAAGTGGGCGCTCGGCGGGACTGCAGGGCGGAGAGGGCAGGAGCGGTCGTTACAGGAAAATGTTCTCACGTACGAGTGGATGGCCATCTGGGGGCCGCCTGAGTTCGCGTCCACCCCCTCTTGGGGCTCGAACCCGGAGTTCATTCTCTCGGAGGCGCTGAGCTAAGGCTTCTCCATCCAGAGCTTTCAGGTCCAGCTGCCTGTCTTGTTTCTGACACCTACTTTCAGGGCATGGTGAAGCCTCTGGAAATGTTTTATAACTCAATTTACATTCGCTTCACCTTTTTTTCTTCACATTTTAAATACACACATAATTTAACAAAATCAACAAATCTAAAAAAGGAGAGGGAGGATCGTGATCACGCCTTTGTACCACCTCCCTGATCCCCTCTCAAGCCTTTATCTGTTATTTTATGTGGTTGTAATAATGGCTTAGATACGGTTTAGTCATTTGCCTCTTTTCACTTAATGTCTCTCCAAAGTCGTCGCCTTTGATACGGGGTTAAAATGCAGCATGGAGTCCTCACCTCCACCCCCATCCCAGGGGCCCCCGGGGTAACGCCAATGGGCTGCTGCAGAAGCCCGTCTCCTCCCTGGCTCGCAGGAAGGGGTGAAGGTGAGGGAGGTCCCTGGCTGCCTCGGAGCCGTGGAACTGGCTCATGGCTGGGAGCCATGGCCCTGAGAGGTGGTTCTCTCTGTGAGATGTTTTCAAACAAAATGATGCTTCACTACTCTGGAGGGTCCCCCTCCCCATCTCAGCAAAATCTACATGGGTGCCACGCCCCCAGAGTCCGGGGAAGTGAGGTCGCAGTGGGCCACTTTCACTGCTGTGCCTTGCAGTTGGCTCAGGGCCTGGACCAGGCAAGGCTGGCACCTGGGGGATGCACTTCTGGATTATCCCCACTGAATCTCCACTTCTCCTGGGAGGAAGGTTTACTTCTCCGCCCACCTCCCCAACCCCTAGCCCCGGCATCGTGAGCTTATTCAGGGAGCTCCCAAATGAGGCTAGGGCCTACACCAAACCATCACCCAGCTAGGGAGCCCGGGATGTGGCTGTGAAAACTTGGCGAGGGGAGTGGCTCGTCCTTTCCCCTCTGCTCCAGCTTGGGGCACTGCCCTATGGATTCCCCCAGGCTGGCCTGGCTCTGCGCCAAGCCAGGAATTTAGGCAAAACGGACTGAGCCTCGGCGAGGTGGAGTGGAGTCCAGAGCCAGCTCGCAGCAGCTAAGTCCACCGACTACGACGCACTTTTGATGCTGCACTTTTTGCCTAAGGGGGAGGGAGCCCTCTAGTGGCAGTAAACGTTTTCTGCAGCATTTAGTGGACCTCAAATTTGGACTCGTTTGCTTCCTTGCTTTCTTGGGCCTACCTCCCCCGGTCAGAGAAAGAGCTGCAGCGAGGTCATCTGTCAGCCTGGGACATTGATGAAAGTCGCACCTAAACTTGACGTTGTAAATGTCCCCAGTACTTGTCTTTAACTTTGTTTACTTCTTTATTTTTAATCTACGCTCCCTCTTCGGGGAGGGAGAAATAACACAGGGCTTGGAGTCATGCATCCCTAGGGTGGAATCCTTGTTGTACTTTCTGGATACTTGACCCTGGGAAAGTTACTTATTCCATCTGAGCCTTCACTTCCCACAGAATGTGAGGATCGTAAAACATTGTTTTAACTTTGCTGTGATAATTACAGGAGGAAATGCATATAAAGGGCATAGCCCACTACCTGACATGTAGCTTGCACTCAACAAATGTAGCTATTATTATTCATTTATTCAACAACAACTGGTTATTGAACAGTGTGAGGGATATAATATGACCCCCCCATTATAATAGATACAAAAGGCAATATGTTATGACTTTTATTATAAAGCTGGTATGACCGGCTTAAATGGGGTGGAATAGGAATTCAGAGGAGGGAGAAGTCAGTTCTGAACAGATCATCAGGGAGTGGAGGGGCTGGGTTTGGATTTCACCTGGATATTGATTTGCTGGATGGTTCCAAGCAGAAGTCCGAGATTCCAGGATGAAGGGGTAAAAGTTTGTGGGTGGAGAAGCTGCGGGGTGTTTGGAAGACAGCTGAAGAATCCGCTACGGCCTGAAAGTCAAGTCTGCACAGAGGTGGTGGGAAGAGAACAGGGAGAGTAAGGTAGGCTGGTGTTGGGGCCAGACTTCATGAAGTTCAGGGCTGCTGGCTTTTATGGGTAAGTGTGTTTGGGGTTTCAAATTGCCTGAACAACAAGCTTCCAAATGACGGGCTCTTGAAGGGCTACCGTCAAAGGGGGAGGGAAGGAAGACCAGCAGGTGTGTTTAGAACACATTTGATCCTTTCCAAGCCACACAGCAGGTCGTACTGCTCATTTCTTACAGATGAGGATAGCAGACTTAGAGAGGGGGAGTGACTTGCCTGGAAAGTCATGCCGTTATAAGGAGCCGAACCAGGATTCCCACCCCATCCGCCTGATGCGAAGCCGAGCCCTTCCTGCTCCCTGACGCCCTTGCCTACCCCTCCTCCAGGGCTGAGTCTCCAGTGCAGACAGACTGGGATGACTGTGAATGACTCTCAGGGAGATCCTATCATCAAGTCATTGGCACCAGGATGTTCCTTCCTCTGCCCCTTCAGCCTGTTCCTCCTCGGGGTGCCCTCTGAGAAGTGGTGTTCTCTTAACATCCCTGAGAAGCTTTGTATTAAATTTCTTCCTGGGCCTTCTCTTTTTACTTTTTTCCCTTTCATATTTCTCCGTGACAACCCTAGTGTGGAGAACATGCTGTGAAGTCTACTTAGCCATTAGAAAAATTGTGAGCCAACAGGCAAACCTCTGTATTCAGGTCAATGCCACAGGGCAGGAGCCAAAAAGAAGTCTGAAAGATGGTCCTATGGACATTGAGAGAGAGAGGACAACAGAGGGAGCACGAAGAGGATTTAAAGACTCAGAGATAATCAGATACACAAACAGGGACAGTGTGGAATGAGACTGGGAGAGTTTCAGGCCCCAGAGCTGTGGTCACCCAGCCTGACGCTGAGACACTGGGGAGGGGCCCTGGGGAGGCTAGGGGCGGCAGTGCTGGTGTTGAAAACATCAAAGTAAATTCCAGTGGCTTATCACTACCCCTGAAATGGTAATGGAGAGCTAATGAGCTCTCCAAAAATTTAAATCATTCCTTCTGGCCTAGGAAACTTTTTTTCCCTGCTTTTATTTTTAAATTTCAAAGTTTAGTCCTGAAATAAAAGTTTATCTTCTCTTGGAACTGAATGGCCACAAACCAACGTAAAGAAGGAATCGCTGGCTGATTCCAGCTGCCCTAGCCCCATAGCGGAAATCCACAATTTGGAATTTGCATTTATTTCACACACCTACAGAGATTCTTCAAGCCAAAAGGAACCGAGAAATTGCACAGTCTCACAATGCTAACGCTATACAGAGAAGGATAAGGAGGCTTTGTTTTAAGCCATTTTCTCCCTTAACAAAGATTTATTGAGGTCCCGCTCTGTTCCAGATGTTATGCCAAGAACCATATGAAATGTAAAAATTATTAAGATGTGGTTCTTGCTCTCAGAGAACTTAAGACCTCATAGAGAACACAGACAACTGTGATAAGAGACAGACGAGGGTAGGGGATATAATATAGGTGTGAAGAGCATTCTATTCATGGAAGCTATGCAAAGAAGTCTGGCAGAACTACACCAAATTGTTGGTATCAGTTGTCTTTGGGTGATAGGTTATCAGGGTTTTTGCCATCTGTTTTTCTGATTCTTCTAAATAAAAAAATCAGCGTGTTTTACTTTTTAAAAATTAATAAACTTTATTTTTTCAAACAGTTTTAGATTTACAGAAAAATTGAGGAGCTAATACAAAGAGTTCCCATGTACCCCCCTATGCACACACAGCACACACACACAAACTCAGAGTTTCCCTTATTATTAGCATTTTCCATTAATGTGGTCCATGTGTTATGATTAATTATGTCTTTATATATATATATATATATATATAAAATCACTATGTCTTTTTTGGAGAATTGACCCCTTTATCATTATGTAATGCTTATCATAATGTAATGGTCCTCTATATCTCTGGTAATTTTCCTTATTCTGAAGTCTGTTTTGTCTGAGATTAATATAGCCAACTTCAACTTTCTTTCGATTAGTGTTAGCATGGTATATCTTTCTCCATCTTTTTACTTTTAATCTATGTGTGTCTTTATATTTAAAATGAGTTTCTTGTAGACAGCACATAGTTGGGTCTTGTTTTTTTGGGTTTTTTTGTAATTCACTCTGATAGTCTCTGTCTTTTAATTTGTGTGCTTAGACCATTCACACTTAACATGATTATTGATGTAGTTGGATTAATATCTAACGTATTTGTTACTGTCTTCTATTTTTGCCCGTGTTCTTTGTTCCTATCTGTCTCTCCCACTCTTTTTTCTGCCTTTTGTGGTTTTAATTGAGCATGCTGTGTGATTCCATTTTCGCCTCTCTCTTAGCATATCAATTATACTTTAAAAAATATTTTTAGTGGTTGCCCTAGAGTTTGCAATATACGTTTAAACTATTCTAAGTCCGCATTCAAATAACACTATACCAGTTCATGTACAGTGCAGGGACCTTGTAAAATTCCCCAATTCATCCTGCACAACCTGTAATGTTGCTGTCATGCGTATCACGTACCCATGTGCTATCATCACCCAAAACATTGTTGCTGTTATTACTTTGAATA